AAAAAAAAAAATTGGGTTTGTTTAGTCTCGAGAAGAGAAAACTGAGGGTAGACACAATAACTGTTTTCAAGTATAAAAAAGGTTGTTATAAGCAGGAGGAAGAAAAATTGTTCTCTTTAGCCTCTGAGGATAGGATAAGAAGCAATGGGCTTAAATTGCAACAAGGGTGGTTTAGGTTGGACATTAGGAAAAACTTCCTAACTGTCAGGGTAGGTAAGCACTGAAATAAATTGCCTAGCGAGGTTGTGGAATCTCCATCACTGGAGATTTTTAAGAAGTTAGACAAACACCTTTCAGGGATGGTCTAGTCTAGATAATACTTAGTCCTGCTTTGAGGGCAGGGGACTGGAATAGATGATCTCTCAAGATCCCTTCCAGTCCTACAACTCTAAGATTCTATGATTATACGAACACAATTTTAAAAACTCATTACAAAATTATCACCAGAGTACAGTAGATTCCGCTTAATAGCCACCCAGATATTAACAACTTCCAGTTAGTAGCAACATTTTGCTGGGAATCAATTCCATTGACTTTAATGTTAATGGCATTCAGATACTGGCAATGGCATGCCACTTATTAAAACAACATTTTTTGGAAGAGGCACCACCTGTAGGCAGCTCTGTGGGGCTGCAACCAGGAAAAAAAGTGCAGAGATGTGCCTTGCCTTGCTGCAGACCTGCAAACCTGCCTCTGGCCAGTGCTCAACCCATTCTAGGGCTTCCTTCTGGGGCTGCAGCCCCAGAAACCTGCCTGTGCATAGGAACCATACAGGAGGTAAGGGACTGCAGGCTGGGAGGGGAGGGGAGGGGAGGGGAGGCTGAAACCTGCAACCTGGAGCTTCACAGTATCTCTCCCTGTGCTCCCCAGTCTGCTCCCTGCTGCAGGATTTCAGGTAGAGAAGAAAGCGCTAGGATACGCTGAATCCTGATTCTCAGAGAATGGAGAAAGAGGTGCAGTGCAGCCCTATGGGCTCCCAGCACCACTGCTCCCCACAGAAAACCCCAGCGTCGGGGAGAAAAGCCCCTTCCTTACTGCTGCCCTGCACACAGGCAGGTTGCAAGGCTACAGCCAAGGCAGGCATGTGCCAGCTGTTCCTTCCCTGGCTACTGCCCCAAAAACCTGCTTCTGTTTATTTGCAAATGATGGATAATAGCAACTTTTTACTGGCAACCGACGGGTTGCAAGCGAAGTCTACTGTAATTAAACGTGTTCCACATTTCCTTACTTTGGGTGCCGCTACACTAGTCCAGGAAAGCAGAGTAACGACTATCTCCACCACCATGTAATGAATTCCTTCTCCTCCATTATCCCTAGAAACAACAAGCTGCAGTAAGGGACCAAGCCATTGCCTAGCATAAGGTCGGAAAACCTAGGAGAAATAAAGAACAGTCATCTATACAAACCTACTTTGCAAGAAGCATTTATGCATCACATTCTTACAGGAATAGTTATTTTTTACATAAGAACATAAAAATGGCCATACTGGGTTAGACCAATGGTCCATCTGGCCCACCATTCTGTCTTCTAACTGTGGCCAGTGCTCAATGCTTCAGAGAGAATGAACAGAACAGGACAATTATCAAGTGATCCATCCCCTGTTGTCTAGGTCCAATTTCTGGCAGTCAGACATTTAGAAACAGCCTTCTCTGTATAGTTTTTGCCTAACACTGTACAAAGCCCTCATTATAGTAATTTCAAACGCTCCTAAAGAAAATTTCCCCATTGATAAATTAGTTACATACCCCATTTGTATTTCTGTGAGTAAGCCCTCAAAAGTCAAGTTCGCTATTACTGGCAAAGCACATGATTTCTTTCACTGGAGCCCATCTACCAGCTTTCCATACACTAAGTCTGACCCATGGAAGTCAGAATAGTAACTCACTCATCCAGAATGAACAAGCAAGCGAGCGCATGCACACGCGTGCGCACACATACACACTTCTCATTTAGCTTTTAATGTAAAAAAAAAAAAAATCACTCACTTCCTCAGTATTAACAATGAGTTTTGCTAAGAAGAGGCGAATATTTAGTGGCATAGATGGATTCCCCAATTTGCCATGTATAAACTTCATCCATGGAGGAAGGTCTCGCGGAACTATTCCCTGAAATCAAAATTAAATAGGTCACTTGAAATGCATATAACTCAAGATTACCACAGGTTTTATTCGATTACACTAGGGACTGATAGCAACAAAGTTTACAAAACAAGATTTCTATTATAACCCCCTTTCTTGAGTTTAAAAAGAAATAGAAATATAGGACTGGAAGGAACTTTGGGAGGTCATTTAGTCCATCCCCCTGCGTCGAGTCACAATCAAGTGCAACTAGACCATCCCTGACAGATATTTGTCTAATCTGTTGTTAAAAACTTCCCATGACAGGGATTCCACAACTTCAATCAGCAACCTATTCCAGTGCTTAACTATCCTCTTAAACTGGACAGGTGCTAAGCCATGAACCAATACTGACCTCATCTACTTTGGGTGTAATCTGATTTCTCTGCATATGTTTAATCAGGGTCGTCATAGAGGCCATACATTCATGCTGATTGAGCTCATCCATCTCCAGTTCCATCAGATCATCTGGATCCATGGATTCTGTGGGTTCCTGTCCAAATAAGGAGAGCCAGTTAATCATGAGGGACTCTATGCACCATTTTTTAAAAGTCATAATTATACTGTTTGTTATGCTGATTTTCTGGTCAAGTCTATACAAACTGTAGTACAATAATAAAATTGTATTCAACAATATTTAAACAAGCAATAGGTCAAATATGTTATTCAAACCAAAATCTCCCCCAAACATAGGAACTAATTTTGCACAGCTCCAAATCTCCGTCTAAGGGTGCCAGCTGCATGTCACTCTGACTCAGATATGTAAAAGAGTATGGCGGCAACAATCAGAAATGTAAAAATTAATTGGCCTCCACAGAAGCTATAATTCCACTTCACAGCTGAGAGTGCCACCACCATACACCTTCCTCAAGACTTCATGTATTTTCCCTAAATTTTACTCCCAGTCAAACTATTTGTAAAGTAATTAATCTCTGATGAATTCAGAGGCTGTTTTCCAGTGAGGGCCAGCATAGCCATTATATTTCCCAGATGAGATCTCATTTGACAGTAAAGAACAAATAAAAAATTGGCTTCACCATTACAAAGAAGTGGAAATCAGAATTCTTTGAAATTGCTTATGGCAAGTTCTATAATTACAATAAAATTTTGGTTAATTTAAGTCTCGTCAACTGTTAAAATATCCTCCTCATGACAAAATATGAAAAGAGGTGGTTATCTAATATTAGATAACATTATTAATTATTTTGATAGATCTTGCTTTAAACACCTATGATACCTGGGTGACCAATGTTTTTAAAACGGTGAAGGTGATTCTTTCAATCTTACTTTCAATATGGCAACCTCTTGCCTAAGTGTTAAAGGGCCACTGTCAACTTCAAGTCAGGCTTATATCAGAACATACTGCCACAAGCAATACATAAGACATTATCTAACCACACATAAGACACTATAACACCACAGGAGAGTAGATTAAAAATAATATTGTTCTCTCTCTCTTTTGTTCAGTTTATTGTGTACATTTGATACCAACTGGCCAGTTTCAGGGTTTCCCCTACATAGTCATTCATTCATTTTTGTGTGTTTCTGTGGCTCTTTCATATAGTAACAGTAAAGCAGGAGGTGGGAAACAGGAAACTGTAACTAGTAAACAAAAAATGTCAGGGGAACTCAGGCACAGATGTAAATTATAAAACCACTTTAAATCTAACCAAATTCAGAAAAGTACAGAAGACAGTGGCCCTGTAACCTATGTTATATTTAAGATATTTCTAAAAAATATTTTAGTAATTGATTTTTCTTTATAATTAGATTCGGTGATTTAGAAACTCTGTACTATAGTTCCCTTCAACAATGCAAGGCTTCTGCCTTCGTGAGCAAATCTCCACCTTCAAATTAAAGGAAGATTAAATAAATTCGAAAACAGAGTAGAAGGACCCACATTGATGGCAAAAAACACTTGCTCTGATGTCTCAAGCTTCCCATTAAAGACAGACTTACCTACAGAGAGACAACCTGTATCCAATATTTACTCCCATTGAACCTTTTACCTTTCCCAGCACAACATGTACATGAAACTTGCTCTTTTAGTTAATGTATAAGTTTACTGAGAGTTTAGAATAGTGACCCTCTTGTTCCTCCACACAGTATACATCTCTAATCACCTTTCTCCTGAAGTGTATACTGCTAGCTGTAGGGTCTTGTGAGTTATAAGAAAAACTTTGGACTCCAGTTGAGAAATCAAATTGGCTCATTTCCTCACTCAGACTGCTGTCTACCATATATGATGCAGAAGGCAAATACTGAGGCTCATCTAAACAAGAAAAACAATGTATTGTTAATCACAACACTAATTAGAGTGAAAGCTGTCTTCAGTGACTACTCAAGAAAAATAACAAAATTTGGTTGCTTAACCAAGGAGGTATTCTAATGAAAGTTAGACCAAGTACAGTGTCTGTCTTTAATTGCATCTGGAACAGTATTGAGCACATCAGTGGCACTTTTATAAAGGTGGTCTCTAGTCCAGGTTTCACTGTAAGGTATAGGCCTGTTAATAAATATGATGAATTGGTCTCTTTCTTTGTATAATTCCGCCACAGATGTAACAAATTTTCTACACATTTATATCGGTTAACAATTTGTAGTTTCTTGCACTTCAGTATCAATAGAAAGGCATGGAATGGATCACTTCCCCAGAAAAATGAAACATACTGGAGTGAAACCATTTAGCAAATATGTTAAAATGCAAAAATGCAGTTTCAGTTAGCAATTCTTATACAGTTGTCTGTTTGCTTGGGGCTGTTGAGAAAGAGGAAGGAAATTATACTTTATATAGTCCCATTCTAATTACTGAAAAAAACCAGCTTCAGGGCCTCATGCAGTCAGAAGATGCACAGGCACTGCCACCTGCAGAATCAGCTGCAATTTAGACATGATTATCAGCTTTTCTAGATGCATCTCTACTAAAATCAGCACATTCTATATAAGTGCGATGGTGAATTGTACATTTAAGGGGCGGGGGGGAATATTGAAAATTTTAATCATTATAAATTTATGTCATACCTGAGTCCCTATTTACTGCATCCCTGGCTTCCTTCCTAATAGTAATATACCTTTTCTTCCTTTCCATAGGCACCTAGAACACCAACAAAAATATGAGCTTTGAAATTAGTTAAATTTGCTTTTAAAAAAATAAACTAGCTGATAAAAATAAGAGTTCTATTTTGAGTATCTTTTACAAAAAGATTATATAGAGAATTATATTTATTACCTAGCAAACTCGATAGAACTTTTATTTATAACATAGCTTTTTAACCAATGCGGGGGGAAAAGTATTCAAGCTATTTAAAATGAACAGGAGTTCCAACTTATAAATGCTAATAATCAGTGTTACAGAATATATCACATCAGCTGAACTAATGACACTAGAAATGATTAATCTTTGGAATAAATATGCCAAAACAATACATTAAATGTGTGCATCCCAGTTGTGCTTTTCATTCCTTGGACTTGGGATTTTCCAGAGGAACTGGGATTTTACTATGCATACTACATAACATTCTAAAGGGTCAGAGGTCTCCACTGGTATTTGTCATGGTTTCAAACAGCATAATTTCTCTCTATGTATAATTCTGTAACACATATACAGCGCTATGCAATGATTATGTAATATTAAAAGCAATGACCATTTTCACTGTATTACAATAAAGCACAGAACTATGACTCACCTCAACTTCAACAGGAAACGAATACTGGTGCTTCAGATCTAGCAAGTTTTCAAAAATGAACAAGTTCTGTGAAACAAAGCATATTTGGAAATTTAAAAATTAACATACTGTAAACAATAGCTGGGGCACTAGCAATATTTTATTTAAAAAACAACAGTCTATTTCAAATTACCATACAAAATAAGGGACAGTCCGTTCCATTACACTCATTTATGAGAAATTACCATTATGCAGACATCTATGAACAAGTTAAGTGACTAGTTACTTTAAAAGAGTACACAAAGCCCTGTAACATTATTCTATTCAAGAATATTTCAAAAGGTTGGAGGGCTTTTGTAATATTTAAGCACTTTCCATAACTAAATAGCGATTGAGATAGAGTAGAGGGGTTGAATGTATTGTTACTGCACCCCCACTCAATCATATGCAAAACCTCCATCAGTGATTCAATTGCCATGCAAGATCAAAGGAAGCCATCTACATAGAATCTTAGGACTGGAGGGGACCTCAAGAGATTTTTCTAGTCCAGTGGTTCCCAAACTTGTTCCGCCGCTTGTGCAGGGAAAGCC